GTACCGTACCAAACAGAGACTTGATAAAACATATAGATGTTCAAGTCAAGTACTTCCACCTTAGTAACGTTTTAAAATAACGCCATAATTCATTCTGTTTTTAACCTCAATTTTGACGTGGAGTATTGTATACTTTATTGATCTTATTATAAATTAATAGATCATTTTAAAGACCCATCAATATAAGGAGTCTCAACAGATAGGCTACTTAGGGTATCCGTAGATATTCAACACATCTTGCAAAATTTCAAGATTTACGAGTGTACCACTGCGAAGTTTTGAAAATCAAGTATCTATAAAAGTCCAGTTTTTATGAAATATTGATGTTTTAACAACACTCCAAAGCAAAAAGTTATTACCATTGAGTAGCATAAGTTCAAAACAGAAATGGCGGCTTTAAAGGAGAGGGGATATCAATTCATACAGGTTAAGAACACTTTTAGTCTCAATTGCGAAATCAAAGAAATATTAAAATAATATTTCAAATCTTAATATGCACTTGTGTGTTCATTCACCTAATATGAGTGATTTTGGCAGATCTGGTCATTATACTAAAGTACTGAAAAGCACTACATGGAGTCAGTGTTGGATTATTTAATGTTGCCCTTTGTGCTTTCTTTAGACAATTCTGAATTTATTGTCAAAATCATTGTCTTGCTATTACTGAAACTATGCATGCATATCAGCAATGAGGGTTCCTGTTTTCGCAACATTCTTGTTTTTCAACTGGTTATGAAACAAGATGGCGAACAAATGAAGATGGATCATGACAGGCTAAACTTCTGATACTAAACATGACAAGCAATAAAACTGATATTAAATGATGAAAAATATCAAAGAAAATCAAATACAATTATATCCATTACTGGTCCGGGAAAGAGAATTATAGAAAAATGAATATGATTAAAGGTTTCTCAAGGGTTAATATTCAATATTTATGGGAACCTCAAGATCAGAAGATCAAATTAGTACAGACAAGACTCTCTAATAAAACTTCAAGAAAGTAAGTCATGCAGAGCATCATATTTTTCAATCACAAAAATTGATGAAATCAGGAAAATTATCGAATAACAGACCACAAAAATAACATGTACATGTGTATTTCCAGAATGATCAGTAAAACATCAGTTTATTTTGTGAGTGACTCTATTTACATCTTCCTCATCAGTGAACATTTCATTCTCTGCATTCTCACCAACATACATATCTCCATTTACAAACCCTGCATCCCTACTGGCTGATCACAATCAACTAGCCCTCTGACTGTTACTTGTGACTTCACCATTAAAATCTCAAATGCAGCTCCCATCACTTTTTAATGGAATTTTGATGTGAAATAAAGGTCAGTTACTTCTCGGAAGGAACAGTAAAGTAATGATTTTCCAATGAGGACATCTTCTGATTGAGCAAAGAAATATCTGTCATATAAAGAGTGAATACAAAGCTGAGTTCTTGCCAAGGGTTTCACATATGTGATCTTTGTCATGAACTCTCAATAAATCCTGTCTGAAAAGTGAGAGGTTTTGTTTGGAGATATTGATGCTACACTTAGAGATAATGCAGTTATTATCGAAGATATTGAAGATAAAATAGCGAAACATTGATATGATTATAGTTAATTCGGTTATTATTGACTGTGAGTTATAAGCACTCGAGGGCAGATTTTATAGACAACTAAGGGGGAGTCTCATTAATAGCAAAAAGGCCATTTCAATTTGTGTTTTCTTCGCAAGTTGATTACTCCAGCTCCTTTTTGTGATTTACATTAGTGACTCCCAAGATTTTAAAAATTCAACTTCAATGAAATAACCCATATTTATGTATTTCATTGATTGTAATGATTTTTAGTTAAACATCGGATATGTTCAAACTAGATTTTTTCCTGATCACCAAGGAAACTGGAAAGCAGTATTCTACAAGAGACTGTACTTGTGTTCTAATGGTGACACTGGTGAAAAGTTTTTGAATCATTCCCTGTGGATATTAACAGCTGCGAATGGCAAATATCATGGTCATTTGAACACTGACATAATTCAATCATTTGGATTAAAAACTAGAAATCAGAAAATTTGATTCATATTTTGATTCAGCAATCTACTTTCAGTAGAGGCGATTATAACATTCTTTGATGTATGCATCAACAGGGGTTTTCATTTAATCATAATACTTTTCATTTGTGCTTTTATTGAAAATACAGGTTTATTGATACCTTTCAAGAACTGCCCCATGGGGCACTTATTGGCCAATGAGGGAAATAATTTTATGGCTCATATTTCTGAAAAGTCATCGCCTTATTGTACCATTTACCATTTTGTTAATTGTCTATTTGCAATGATGCTTTAACTTTTGTTCTTTTTAATGTGCCCTTTACTCATTTATTCACATCTCTGTCTACTTGAAATCAAACATCCTTACAATTCTAATCACAATACGTCGTAATATATAACAGCCTGTAATTTCATATATAATGTCTTTGATTTATGGAAGAGTTCTTGTCTTTTGCTAGGTGTGGGGACCATAAGTGGTTTATATGTGTGTATGTACTGTATACATACACGCCCTATCAGATGAAAGATTGAAATTGTCACAGAAACAACTTCAAGTTGTTCATTTCATCAAAATGAAAACCAAATTCCTTTTCAGTAGAAATTTCAAGTTCCATGTTAGTCTACTTTCACAAGTTCTTGTTAAGTTTCTATGTTTTCAATAGATAATATTGAAGAAGAGTAAAAAAGCAAGATTTTGTAAGGGATTAAAACCTTATTTCTATTTTGACAACCCAGGCGGGATATAAACATACGTTGGTTTTGAAGTATTAGAATTGTAAATCAGATTCAAGAGTTAAAATTCAAAATCGTTAATTTGTGTCGCAAATCTCATAAATCTAGAATGTTTTTCAAAACTTTACAATTCTAATTTTTAATTGATTCATTCAGATCGTGATGTTGTAAAAATCAAAATAAGATTTGTTGTAACTGTATATCATAATGATTTCGAAAGTTGAATAAATTAGCGTTTGAAAGCATAATTGAATTAGCCACATTTTGGCACGAATCAAAGTAAGGATTGGTTTTAATCATGAGTTGGGCTACATTGTGTATCTCATGTTTGCTTAATGTGCTTTTCTGAATTTTATCTTTTAAAGAAATAAATAAATAAATATATGTATATTCTCTAAAAACTTGTATGAAGTACCTGGTCTTCTGTTATTTCTTTATAATTTAGTTTATTATTGTCAAAGTTGTATCATTTATTCTTCCAAACATTTTCTGTTTTACCTCAATTTTGGATTTAAAAAAATAACCGACAATAATCATTAGGTGATTTCATTTACAGGTTTTCAGGGATAGCCAAGATGTATGGTTTACCTCGAAACCCTATCAATCTCTGACGAAGATTAAAATTCTCATTATATTTGTCAGATATTTCTTGTTTTTGATTTTACGATTTCGCTTTATCTAAAATCGCAGACAGGGGCATATTTTACGACCTAATGGCTAATATATTAACATGGGAAAATTACACTTCATTTTGGTGGTTTATCTAAACGGGGAGCATTTCATGTACATTTCAAACAAATATCTTTACATATCTGTTTTATAATACCCTAGAGTTTAAGCAGAATTTGAAACTGTCGAAATGCTTTTGTTTTATGAGTTTGCTTATCTCAACATTGGCTGAGTGATGGTTTTATATCCCTGGAATAGTCATAGAGTTTTTAGTTGCAATATTCGTTATCTCACGTTGTGGCATTTCAACATAATCCAGTGCTATTCTGGAGGAATTCCCGTGATTTATGACGTGATTTTTTGTATTGCATTGTGGGAGTTTCTTCCTTGATAAATGATCTATTGTTTTACAGTGTCCGATTACTTGAAATAATTTATCCAACATTAACTCTTAAAACAGTCAATAAAATGAAATTGAACTTTTTATCAAGACACGTATATTCAGAAAATTAGAGTGTAATTGATCACCATGGATACAAAGAAAACAAACTTTTAGATTAAATGGCCATGAGAACTTCTAAATTAAATAACTTCAAAACACAAATCAAGTGCAATGAAATTTCAATTTTTATTTTACTTTAAGCGAGAAATAAATCTTTGAAGTCTTGAGTTTAATTTGTACATAGGGCTCATTTACGTTTGATTCTAAATAGCATTTTTGTACATTTATAAGAAATATGCCATAAAAGTCATAAAATTAATAAAATTTGAAACAAACTGCCGCTCATAAACCATACGTTAAAGTATACTTGATGTGATTTAATAAAAACATTTCCATTCAGGATAGAAAAGTAAAAATGATTGCGAGTAAATTTTGTTTTTAATTTTTGGTTTAAACGCACAAACGTATAAAGATTAAAAAGACCGTAGAACCATAAACAAAATTTTGAATTCTGAAAGAGGAAATATGAAAGGGGCTATGCACAGAGAATCCCATAAAACAAAAATCATAAAACAATTTTTGTATAATGCTCAGATCAACATGAAATTCTCGAAAGTTTATGACTCCTTTTTATTGAAAATGATGAAAAAATGAAGGCATATGTCTAACAATTCGCCATTTGGTCTCTTATATGTTTCTTTATGAGTAATATTTCAAAAAGGTTGTCACAAACATGATCGTTACTGTTAACTTAGTACGATATTCATAGCAATAGCAGATTGGGGTCATGGGAAAATATTTATCATTCATTGGGAAAATATTTATCATTCAAGACATGTAATCCACAAAAAAGAGGAAAAGGAAATATATGGCACTAAATATATGAGAAAATGCATATAATATTCATCAATACAATAAGAACACTTCTGATACTCCTGAAAGTCCCCCATTTAATAAAACAACTTGGTGTTCAATTTTCATTGAGTGACCAAAACAAAAGTAAGGATTTGGTTTTTTCATACTATATTCTCAAACACCACCATAATCTATCACTTAAGTTTATATTCTATATTTTTCATTCGACAATAAAGTATTTTAATTCATCTCACCTTTCCTGAAAGGGTCGTCACCATGTGGGATCTGGGCTTCTTGCCTCAGGATGTCAAATGGCGTTGTTCCACCCATCGGATTGTTGCTTGCCATTTTCGTGAGATTCATCAACGGAAGTTCTGAAGTAGGAACCATTGGTGGTTCACTTGTTGATGTAAGTGGTGTAGAGCTAGCCTCTTTCTGGGTTGAACTCGTACTGCTGCTTGGCGACACACTGGCCGATGACGTGGGTGTTGATTCAGTGCTTGTTGGAAGTTTCATCAATGATGGATTTTCCATTTTCAACTGGCTTAACATTTTCGGGATTTGGTTTGGGTTACCACCATTGGCGATGAACTGATTCTGAAGCTGCTGAATGAGATTCAGCTGCATCATCTGCTGTTGGTGAAGGTTGAAAAGGGTCGACTGTAGCGCCTGAAGATCACCAGCTGGGAGGTTATTTTCAGCAAATTGTGACACTGCCGCTTTCGTTCCCTCCAACTTCTCCATGGTAACATGAGTCTGAGCCAATAGGGGAGCAAGGTCATTATACGGAAACTGCGGGTCTTTGTCATTCTCTGTGGTGCCATCTTTTATCTCAGAATTGACGAGGTCTTTATTACAGTCGGAATCTGATTTGTCGGAACATTTTGAGTCATACGCTGAATCAGCACCATCTTTAGCTGCTTGGTGCTCTGCGTCTGTCATATCTATCTCACCTTCTTCGAGTTCATTGTCATCAAAATCCTCTTGTCCAATAAGGTCCTCTTCATCACCGATATCTTCATCATCAAAGTCATCTTGGTCATCAAAATTGTCAGACATTTTGTTTTCTTCATTATAGACAGGCAGAACAATTCGCTCAGCCTCACATGACTTTTTGTGTTCAATGAATTCTTCAAGATTGAGGAATTCTTGTCGGCATTTCCCACAGACATGAGCGTCACCATTTGTTGTGTCTTCCTCACACTCAGTGGCGACACCTTTCTCAAGGTCAGGCATGTCTGAAAATACAGATAACAAACTTTGAAAACTACATGAAGATTTTATTCTAAGGCATTAACATTATCAAATGTTAAACCATTTAACTTTTGTCAAGTTTATTTGGTTTGTGCAACTTGATTTTCTGTTCATTAAATGTGAAAGGAAGAATAAGCCTTTGTTTATTTGGCACCAGAAAGTTACTATATACAGTACCAAAATACCTGGGGATATTAAAGCCTGGTATATTATTTTAGTTTATGAGATATCTGTTATTTGTATTTTAAATAAAGATTATATATCTAACGAAAGCAAGATCGGTTAACACCCTTCTGGGGAACATTTTCACAATCTCAGAGTGATATGTTTCTATCATAGACCTTTCAAAGAATTTTCTGTTTATGCCTTGGAATAATTGTTTTATCAAATTTATCTTTGAGGATCTAAAGCAGTTAAAGTTTCTGCCTTATGGAGATGACTTGGGGACCATGGCTATTGAGCATCATGATCATTTCATATAAGTATTTGAACCTTTGACCATCAATGACCACAATCATCTCAACCACAATATCGCCAACATCAAAACCTATTGGAGTAGCATAACCACAATGCACCTTGGGAAATTTCTAATCAACAAATTACCCGATCAACTTTATAACAACTTTCCATAAAATGATTCCCCCACATCAAAGAAAAATTACACTTTTTCAAAAAATGCATGTTTAAATGCACTGATATACCAGGGTAGGCCTAATTATAAGAGCGTGATTCAGTTAGCGGTGTTAATATGAACGACATATGTTGTGTATTAAAAGCACAGCAAAAGTTACCATACAGAAATTGAGGTATCGAAATACACCATTTTGTTTTCTTACTCCTTGGTGGAGGTGTATGGTAATATTTTTATGACAACCCCGTTGTACTGAAGTTTAGTAATAGTGTTATAGGATAGGTCTGACCACCAAAGACGTTTTTCACAAAATATCATTTCAAGCTGGGAAGATTCACTTTCATCTTGTTAATATGGAGAGATAAATAGCCCTTATATAGATGGCGTCTTCATTTGTTGGTAGTTAGGAATATTATTACTCACATTTTAGTGAATTTCAACTTTTTCTCAAGATATGTATTTCCTGTTTATTTTACAGAGTAGTAATAGAATATAATTTATACATTGTCATATCTTACAATTATCTATGTAAGATTCAGATTATATGTAATGATTCCGAGGAAAATTAAAAGACAATAGACAATGTTTATATTAGAATTCTTTGTTGGTAAAAGAGGTAAAACATAATCTGACAAATATTATATTGGCATATTGCATCTTAAAATGATCTTTGTATTATAGCACAGACAAGTTAACAAATCTCATATAGTTTCCATGGCAACTGTTTAGTATCAATTGTATGATGTATCAGCACCTTATACATCTTCTGATTCACTCTATCTTTCTGGAGAAATAATTAGAATGTGCTAATAATTTAAGTATATTTCAGTTGCTAGGCAACCATGCATATATCCAGACCACCAAAGCTGTTACTATGGAAACAATGATCAGTTTTTAAAAAGAATGGGGGTGGGCGATGTTTGAGATATTTTCATAAGCTGTGTGTGATTAGCCTAGGCCCTTGTTATAAAGTATCAATATGTTTATTCAGGTACAATCTTTGTTTGGATACTTTGGGAACGATTCACGGACTTGTGAAAATGGCTCTTTGGTGATATGAGTTTGCCGTTAATTAAGAGATAATTTGAGCCTGAAACGCCAGTTCTAACAGAGACATGGTTGTAATATCACACATTTGCAATATCGATATATCATTCTGATACTCGACTCATGTATTTCTTAACTGATTAGGTAAAAAATAACTGTACCCTGTAAAATAAAACATTGTACACTGAAACAAAAAAACAAAAATGACTTTCTATGAAATTGAAATAAAATTTGAAATGTTTCGGGTACATCTAAGTGAAATTCAAAACATGATCAAACAAAATTAATTCACTTTTCATTGTTTTAAATAAATTATTCTATGAAAGGTATCCATTGTACATGGTATACCAACAGTTTACATTATAATTAACCAAGCCAGGTTTAAGTTTCATTTTATACATCACAAGTATACATTTGGTAATTAATATATTCCATAATTAAATCAGTGATTGTCATGGCAACCACCCGGATCCATTAAACATTCATAAAAGCACCCCTGTATGACTCATACATTAAAATGAATTGAATTTATGCAAGATACACCCTGATTTACTTTGAATGTTGAAGAATGTCCTGGACCAGAATTTTGGAACATAATCCCTATTTTGCTTGTCATGATATAATTGATATAATTAACTTCACCTTGTATCTTAATTACATTACAAGATCTGACAGTGTGCTCATACACAAATCTAGCCCATGAATTTTAATTAGTACTCTGTTCTCAGAAAATATCTCAAAGCAGTCTCTTTCTCTGGCCAGGATGTGATTACTATGGTAATGAATCAGGATAAATGGCTGTGATAGACCATAAATGTTTAATTATGAATCTGTGTTAGCCTAATCACATAGTGATCTGATGTGTGTTAGTTTTGTGAAATTTTAATTTTGTTTGAAGTGACAGAATACTTATTCTTGTCACTTATCATCCGGTTCTTATTTTATTTCAGAAAATACAGATTGGTATTAGTACAGCTGAAGTCCAATAGATGGCAGAAAAGTCAATGATGAAACTATCTGCAACTGAGTATCATCGATGTTCTATAACACAATTTTCACAAGAACAGAAATTATTATTGAGCATTCTCGTGAGATGTTTTATGACAAACTACTGTAATTTTGGGTTAAAAGGGTTAATCAGTAGAGGGGACCTTACTAAAGGGTTAATAAGGAAAGTCATGATCTAATAAGTCCCTAGTCAACTCTGTATCGTGGGGAGCGTAATTGCGCACTTAATATTAATAAAACATGCATTTCTGTCTTCATAATTTGCAATAACACTATCAGGAATATGAAGAATCATCCCATGGGGATCTATCATAATGTGCAATATTTGATGCCTCTAAATATCAATGGACCAGAATGGCTGATCCCTTGAAAGTCTTTTTTGTTTATTTCAAATCAAAGATTGAAACTTCAATCATTAAGTTTGTATTGATTTGTCCACATGAATTTATTTGTCTCATGCCTTGTCACATTTCCTGAGTCTTCCCCCAATGGAATTTATGACAGAAAAATGTACAGAATTAAGCATTTAGCTTTTACAAGGGACCGATTGTGCTACTTTTATTAATATCCAATTGGGATTTATAATCAAATTGAGGATTATATCGCGACTGTAATATCTCCCAATAATGTGAGTTATTATATTAAAGAAAGTTGCTATAGATATACTGCTTGACAAGAGTTCCTTTGTTTCAAAATTAGTACTGCTCTATTGTTTGGAGGTACTTCAGTAAAAGGTTCAGTGATAAACAAACAGCTCTTTCATCAAAACATTTAATAAATCAATTCTCTTTTCTTACTCATGTACTGTCAGACAAAGGGACCAAAGCTATATAAAGAAGGTGGGGGAGTTGGAAAGGAGGGGTTGAAGGGGGGGGGCTTGAAAAGAGAGGTAGTGGGAAGGATGAGGGTTAAAAAGAGGGGAGTTGAAAGGAAGGGGTTGAAGGGGGGGGCCTTGAAAAGAAGGGGGAGTAGAAACGAAGGGGGTTGAAGGAGAAATACTCTGAAGGAAGGGAGTTTTAAGGGAGGTGAAGTTGAAAGAAATGGGGTTGTTGGAAGGGCAAGACTTGAAAGGAAAGGGGTTTGAGAGGGTATGAGAGTAATAGATTTGAAGTTGACCAGAACGAGTGATGAAGAGCTAAGAAAGGAAAAGTGAATACATAAGGAATATACACTGCACTATCAAATTCAAAAAAGGGAATGATTCTTATTTATTTGCTTGGTATTCTAAAAATGCACCTATTCTAGCAATTAAAAGAAAATAAATTTATTTAGGTCGACCTCAGAATTTTTATATTTCTACTAAATCATAGTAAATATTATCATAACTGCAAAGTTTCTTTCAAAGTACAGTTTACTAGTCAAAATTAATAATAAATTTCCACAATTTTGAATGTTCATACAAAGAATGAGAAAGCAAATATGAATTATTATCCCAGTGCCTATTGTATATGGCATGCATTAAATTATAAAAAATACACAGAAGATATCATAAATTCAATTAAATTGCTTTACTGGCCTTTATTAAACCTTACAAGAGTTATTCTATGTTTTCACCTATATTTTGTGAAATAATACCATTTGATATTCAATAATATCAAGTCATAATCTACAGGTGAATACCATTGTTATTGAACAAATATTTATTGTGATTCAATCACCGAATTGTTGATTTTCTGACATATGGGAGAGTGCTTTAAAAGGGTGGAAATCTCAGTTTAATATTTCCTTTCTTATAGATAGTTTATGACAACGATTTAGCCCATATAACATATCCAGTGACTTTTTCGTACAATGAAAAGTAAAATGTGCATGATTTTTTTCACATGGCATTCTCAAGCCAGGATTTCATACTTAATATTGGATTTTTGATACTAAAACAAAACGAGGTCTTGCTTCAATTACAGCCCCCCCCCCCCTTCCATTTCTTAATTCCTTTAAAGATGAGCCTTGACACTCAAAACCTGAAGAAATATTTCATATATAACTAAAATGATAACTTTGAACTTTTTCTCATCTATTCACCACAAAGCAGCAACAATTAACTTCAACTCAATAATAAAAAGTTAACTTTAAATTTGAGAAAATATCATAGCTAAAGAATCATATTTTAGATTGTATATTTGTAATAAGATTACCTTCCATTACTCCATTCGTGGAAAATATGACTTAAAGTAATATATTGGTTAGTAGGCAGACAAAACAATATTTTAGCATTAATCAAATATAAATATATCCAATAACTCAAAAAATGTGATCTTAAACGAATCTATCATCGTAAGAAGCTCTTTAAATTCCCAC